TAATGGGTGTATCTGATTAACCTGTAGGCAACATCATTCCAAATGGGGAAAGACTGAAATTGTGTTTTGACAGAACTAGGGAAGCAAAGCATAAGGTCAACCTGAATAGTCAAAGTTATCCTGAGCAAACGCAGCCATGTCGCAGCCACCGTGACAACTGATTCGCAATTCTACCACAGGGCATGCACGGGGCCCACTCTGACATCCAGAGCAGCGGACGAAGACCCAGGAAAGCCCCACAGCCAGCGATGGCTGGTTCTGACAGGGCACCAACAACCTCTGGTAGAAAACAGCCTCTTCAACAAGTAGTGCTGAGAAACTGAGAGTTCTGCATGTGTCGATAAACAGAACTAGCCTCCTCTCTCTCACCCTTAACAAAAATTAGCTCAAAATAGATGAAAGATTTTAATGCAAGACTTGAAATTTTGGAACCACCAGAAGAAAATACAGGAAAACCCTTTAAGATATAGGCATTTATAATTAAAAAAAAATAAAACTCTAATGGCTCAGCAAATAATAAGGAATAACAAATGAAAATGTATCATATTATAAAGCCCACAAGTGGCTCATACCTGTAATCTCAGCTACTCAGGAGCCTCAGATCTGAGAACTGTGATTCAAAGACAGCCTGGCAGGAAAATCCATGACATTCTTATTACAATGATCCACCAAAAAGCTGGAAGTGGAGCTGTAGCTCAAGTGTTAGAACACTAGCCATGTGCAAAAAAGCTCATGGACAGTGTCCAGGTCCTGCGTTCAAGCCCCAGGTCCAGCACAAAATAATAAACTTCATGTGACTCTGCTATGCCACTCCTGGGCATACATTTTAGGGAATGAGTCAGCACATGACTGAGAAGCCTGTACACTAGCCTGTACCCACAATGGCCATACAATGCAATCAGCCCATCTGAAAATCAACCAGTGAACAGGTAAAGGAAGCACAGTGTACGTTCACCATGGGGTATTCCTTAGCTGTAATGAGGAACAAAATGAAGTCATTTGCAGGAAAATGGATGGAACTAGAAATGCCATTATGTAAAGTAAAATAAGCTAGACTGAGAAAGAAAAATATCACATTCTCTCATATGTAGAAAGAGTGTCTCACACTTATAATTCTAGTTAATCAGGAGATTGGGATCTAATGGTGCTGGTTCTGGTTCAAAGCCAGCTAGTAGGAAAGTCCATGTGACTCTTATTTCCAATCAACCACCAAAATGTTGGTAATGGAGCTCTGACTCAAGTGATAGCTGCAGCCCTGTGCAAAAAAGCTAAAGAATAGGGTCCAGGTGCTGCATTTGAGTCCTGATGCATGCATGAATGTGTGTGAGTGCACACACACACACAGCAAGACTGTAAAACAGGTGCTGTTTGGATGTGAGGACCAGTGGGAGAAGAGGGTAACTGGGTAGGGGGTAGAGGAGCAGAAGTATTCTACAGACATGAAAAGGTTAAGAAAAGGTTGAATTTGAGCAGAGCTAGTAACTGAATCTCTAGTCTGGTGCACTGAACACATTTCTATTTTAAATAACAGGATGTTGTGGCTTGTTTCTGTCTCCGTTTGAAAGTGGGGGAGACCCTCAGCAGTGAAATAATCAGGTCAATCACATCTCAACAAGTCATTCATCAAAGACCGTATGACAGCATTTTGGCTCTTGTGGACACCAGTGTGAAACACTGGCACTTGTACAAACTAGCCATGACAACGCTCAGATGCAGCTCCAAACAATTTGTTCATCAAGAATCTCTCTCAGGTGTTTCCATTCTCCCAAGTGGTTCCTCAACGCCCCCCTCAAACCGTGCCAGGGGCCTGGAGAGGCCGTCATATTGATGGCGAAATGTCCACAGCGGCTCAAGGGCGAGGCCTACACAATCCAGCAACACCGCCGCCTCCAGGCAGTGTTTTTAACCTTTTAGAAAGCATTTTCTTGGAGTTTATACCGATCAATTTTATATAGATGGTATACATTTTTCCTTCATTTGAAAATGATTAATTTATATTGTAAAACAGGTATAGATTTTCACAAACCAAAATTATCCATTTAAAATCAAGTTTAATTCAATCTAAAACATGAAAGAATAACATTATTCCCACTAGAAAATCTGACATTGCTGAGGGAATTAAATAAAATTCCAGAGTTTTTTTTTCCTATTTTTATCTCTTAGTCACTCTAATGTGAATAGTCCTAAGATATCAAAAACATGTATGCAGAACTAATAATGCAAAACTAATGTAGGATAAAAGGAAACCACATAATCACCACCACCTACTGCCTCCCAACCCCAGCCCAAGCATCGACAACCAGCAGCAAAGTAGACTCCTCAACCTGGAAGAGAGACATTGTATCCTAAACTGCACACAGCTGTTCTGTAGTTAGAGAAGCTAAGCTATGCCATGCCTCCCCCCCCCCCCCCCACACACACTATAAGCAGAATCCTACAACCAGAAATTACAAGCAAACAACACTCATCTAATCTTGCCTTTGCCCTTGATATTCATAGTATTTGAAGGCATCAAAAAGACATTCTCAAAAACAAAAAACAAAAACCAGACATTCTTATGAAAAAGAAGAGACCCTACAGGGGCTGAAGTGGTGAAGCAGAATGTGCTTCTCTGAGAAAAGTTTAGTCTCTACAACTTGCTATCCTGCAGAACTGCACACTACGTACAGAAGCACTAACTGCAGCAGCCATACTTAAGTGCAGCCAGTCCAAACGGACTGTATTATTTGTACAAAATACATGCCAAATTTAAAACTAAGATGGCAAACTATTGTATTAATAAAGTTCATGTTAATTATGTTGAAATGGTAATATTACAGATATATCGAGAAAAGCATTAAAATACATTAAGAAAGAATTTCCCCTATTTTCTTCAATGTAGCCACTAAAAATGTAAATTACACATAAGGCTACATTTGTGTCTTGTGCTGTATTTCTTTGGCATAGCTACTTAGACATTCTAATGTGAAGTATAGCTTGTCGAAAATTCCATTACATTACTTGGCTGAGAACTAGCATAAAATAACACCAAAACACCAAACCTCTATTACACAGCCTAAGACAGTCTTCAAGTGTATATCCTGCTGGATATTTGACACCTGCACAGCAGTGAGAGGTGTAACTCTGAAGGTAAAAAGTGACCAGAAGGGAGGATAATGTAGGACATACTCTAAAAGCAGGAACTCAAGCTGACTCTAGCTCCATTTGTTTTCTGGTTCATGTGTGCAATTCTTACTTCAGAAAGCTCTATTTTCCTGACAGAAGTTACAGGAAAATCCATTAACAACTGAGACCATGCATTAACCAAAGAAATGACAACGTGCTCTGAAGTCCAGCTAGCTGATCAATGGAAGGAAGAAGGAGGTAGCATGAGCAGTTAAAATCTTCCTCATGACCCAGTCTCTCCTTGCTCTGTATCTCCTCTCCCTCACTTCCTCCTCCTTCCCTTTCCTTCTTCTCATGTTGCCAGTTGCTGAGTATTTCCCATCCACAGACTCCTCCCCACAGCAACTGGCATCTCTGAGTATTTCCTGTCCACAGACTCCTTTCCACAGCAGTTGCATCTAATATTTCCCATCCATAGACGCCTCCTCACAGCAGTTGGCATCTCTGAGTATTTCCCATCCACAGACTCCGCCCCACAGCAGTTAGTGTCTCTAGCACACCTGGTTTCTCTTTCTCTTTTGTGGCTGCTTTTGCTGTGTACTTCTTTTTTTTTTAAAAAAAAAGTCATATCAAATGTTCATGAAGTAGACTTGTACTATGTTTTAATGATTCTTAACATTTTTTGACTTCTTTATAAACAAGATGCAAGAAGGATTTTTTTTAAGCATTCAAGAACATGAAAGTGCTTTTTTGCTTCTCTAAGACCCTTGGTTGGGTTGTTGTTTCCGTTTTGTCTTTCAGAGTTGGTGGCCTTCCCCTTTGGGCACTTCTCTGGTCTAGGCAATGAGATTCAAACCAAGCAACATCCATCTCAATCACTGGGATGGGCACTAGGCTGGCCCAGACCAGTCAGCTCTGGGGGCTGAGGAGTTCTGGTACAAAGGGGAGGCCTGGCCGATCTGTAGTCCCAGACTTGCACACATGTCCTTCAGAACCGCTTATGTCCATGGACCTACCAAACAGTGTATTTTGGTTTTTTAAAAAAATAAAAGTTAATGAAGCAAATGTTGAATTATTGCCTTTAGTGTCTGAAAAAAGGAAATATTGAAGGACAAGACTGGCATGATTAATGAAAAGTACATTTCCAAGTGGTTTTCACAGAACCCCTCTCAGGCTAGGATGACATTTTATATTAAGAGTTTCTTGGAATGCATTTCCAAAAATAGTTCAGTAGAGAGTCATTTCTGGCTAAAAAAAGAGAAAAGAAAAACAACCCATAGCCATCCAACTCACATGTACTGGTCAACACATATAAACAAGATACACAGTAGTTTTATATTCTGCTAAAAAGTGATAATGTGGTTAAATAACTGAATGTTGGTTAAGTACCAAATATTTTTAGTTAGGGAAAAGTTACAAGAAGTATAAACTAGATCTCTGGTGGCTTCCAGCTAGCACTCTTTCTGATCACTGCTTGTAGTTATAAGGAGGTAGATTTCCAAAGCAATGGTATAAATCCATACAACTGTCTGTCAGGAATTAGATTGTTAATATATTGGACCAAGACTCAGGTACTACATCTGGTTACAGTCAACTCCTATTTCAATTGGGCTAACAAATCAAAACACATTTTTTCTCACAGCTATGAACTCACAGAGCTTTTAGCAAATGTTTAACATGCATTCTTGCTATTATAGCATCTCTAATGTGCAAGATATTAAGCCAAAGAAAGAACATTTCTGGACTAGAATAGACAATACCTTTATTCAGAAACCGATGAAGTAATTAAAAAATAATCACAGCAAAAGTTATTAGCATAAAAATCAATGTTACCAATAGTCACATGCATGCCAAAAGATAAATGCACAGAGAATGAGAATAATTACCAATCATACCTTATTATGTGTCTGAGTCTGTCCAACCAGTATGAGGATGTTGGAAGAGATGATAGACAGGCAGAAGTTAATCAGAATTATGGACCTCTCAGAGCGTATATACCTAACCAGAGAGAGAAAGAGAGCTCAATTTCAGTTGAAAAATTCTGTATTGTGTAATTGGTGGATCTTATCTGGACAAGAGTTTATAGCAGTAACTATAGGGGAAATTCTGTTTTCAGAAAAATATTTCTTGGGTATCCAGTTTTAAAGTGCATGACAAGAAGTTCTTAAGCTTAATTTTCCCTAGCAAATAAATTAGATTATAGTATGGCATTTCATAGCTGACACAGCCTATTACACAGCTGATCATGGTTAAGATTTTTTTACTAGAAAGCTAAAACTTCTTGGAAATACATCATTTAATATAATTACATACACGCATATATACACACACATATAAATATATGTATAAAGGAGATCTAGTATTTTCATATGCACTACCAATCAAACCCTGAGAACAGAGAGTCAAACCCACATAGATTCTGAGGTGCCACTCTTGTGCATGAGGAGACTGTTGTTAATTCTGTGACATTGCAAACACCATCAGCTATTCAGGGATTTTCATGAGGCCAGCACATTACTAGAAATTATGTAACTGGAAACATGTTAACACAAAGATTCAGACACACACACACACACACACACACACACACACACACACAGATGCTCTTATCTCTAAAGTTGAATCCATTCTATAAATGATAGCTCACCGCAGAGTTGAGCACTCTTGGTGTCTTCCACATTTCACCCTGATGAAAAAGTACTTACTCTGTTGTACAATTTTAAAGTGCACCAGGGCTGTGCACTGTAGAGAAAACTACTCAGAATCCAAGGTCTACCAGCTGCTCATCCTGGCAGGGTGCTGTTTGACTCCCCTGCAGTAAACCACTAAGTGACAGTAACTATAGAGAACATGTGCTTGCTGTGTTCAGCCAGTTCAGTTTGTGTTAGAACACGGAATCACACGTACACATACATATACATACACAAACACACACACAGGTGTGGTCTTCCTCTACAATGCAGATGGTGGAGACAAGGGTTTGGAGGCACTCTTGGGAGAATGAATGAATCAAAGTGCACATGCTCTCGCTGTGTCTCTATTTTTTGTTCCCCTCCTTTCTCTGTCCCATGCTGTTACTGGAAAATATCCAGACAGAAGTTTTCTATTCCATCACAGATTTCAGAAATGAAAGCACTCCCCATCAGATTTTTTTCTTATCAAAATACAGAAAAGATTTTTAAAATACAAAATAAATTTTCTCTCTTCACAAAAGAAATCCAAGAAGGACTGGCTTAGGCCAGCTCTTGGGTCAATGCTGCACTACTAAAAGCTGCACAAGAATGAAAAACTTCTGAGACACACCTGCGCTAACAAGCCACCATGTTCACACACAGCATGGGCTTTTTGGGTTCTTTGGTACAAACACGGAAACTCCTAATAACTCTGACAATTTAAATATCCTTAATAATTCCTGCCCTGAAAGCAATAAACTCTCATAATGAAGAACAGTTATTTTAATATTAAAATTAATTATAAAATTAATTTAGAAATTCTTAACTGAATTTAAAATTCTTAAATAAGGCATAAAGACTGTCAGGTTTTTCCAGATAGGAACATCACCTTTTGGAACAATAATAATGTAAATATTCAGAATAATTATCCATATACTAATATAATACCTGCATCATTAGATGGATATAAAATGCCTAACATTTAAAGTGTCAAAGCTATTGGAAGTCTGGACATACAGTTTTACCTCCATTATCAATATATGAGTAGGCATCAGAAACCTCAGAGGCCTAAGTCTAACGAAATCACTAGAAAACTTATATTTTCACAGGTTCTAGAAAAGAAGCTATTTCAAATACCTCAGAAACAAACAAAAAAATCAATTATTTCACCAGGTTTACGAGTTTTGTGGCTTCTTTAAACAAATTTGTCAAATCTGCTTCACTGCAAACAACCAAGAGGCTTTTCCTGGGCCACGGTCGATTGTGGTGGGAGGGCCTTTTCTGGGACGCACTGAAAATGCACGGAGGCCACATTTCTATGGGAGAAAAACTAACAGTACTCTTGGACTCCATAGCAACGGAGATTAGCAGAAACCATGTGCAGACTGAAGGTGAACTACACAGGCGCCATCCTTAGCAGTACGCAACTTGCTGAAGGCTACCATCCCACCGCGCGGGAGCTTGGAACCAAAGTATACATGAACTGATGTGTGCCCCAGACCAATGCAGGGCGCAGTGTTGGGTGCTATGGTAATAAGCAGGCGGAAGGCCTTGGCGCCCCCACTGGTGTGGTGTGGGCAGCTGCGGCTGGCTGGGGGTCACCCACCTCCACAATGCTGCGTAGACCACCGCCAAGGTGATCAGGGCCAGGCAGGAGAGGCCGCTGCCCACGATCAGAGTCACCGAGGGTGTGCCAGAGGATTCCATGATCTGCAAATGACACACAGCAGACAAGAGAAGGAGAAGAAAGCATTACTGGGAGATGAATTTAAATTATGTCTAGGCTCAGCAAAGCCAAGTTCTCACTCAAAAATGTCCTCGCTAGTTGTTCTAGGTTACCAGATGCTAATCCACAGACGGCCTCAGTTCACCAGCTCAGGCTCCCACGTGACTAACACCAGCGACTCCCTCGCTCCCCCTCTGAGTCTACAATCTTTGGCTATGATTCACTGCCTGGGTCGAGCTCTCTAAAATAAACACTCCAACTTGGTCAGCATTCATCTGTTCAATTTTGTACAGCTGAAAACCGAAGTAACATTTATTTTTCTTCAACTAAGTGAAGTTCAGACGTTTCACAGTTTGATTCTTGGCTAAGTTTATCTTGGTATGTTCATTGACAAGTCTTCTATCACCCAACTCTTGCATGTAGATATTAAAAGATTCTCAAACTTTCTGACTTTCCACAAGTTTGTTCTGAGCCCACTATTCTCACAAAAAATTTTGCTTACTCGGACTCTAAATATTCTGTAGAAATACAATGCTATAACTTAAGACTTTCAGCTTTAATTTCTGATTTGTTTTTCTATAAGCAAAATATGTGGAGATAGTTTCTATGATGCCAATACTAGTCTCCCCAAACGTGACCTTGAAGACTAAGCCTTCCGTCTTTAAAAGCGCATATACTGACCTAAAAGGTTCCTTTGCTCAGACACTCACGTGATGGGAACTAATGAAATTTTTTCTCGTATTGGAATTCTGAAGGGATACCCTAGAAGACTCAATATGTCCCAGAGGCTTAGATAGGGGTACCGAATGAAGACAGAAAATCCCCTCTTCTCATATTGTTCCAAAATGCTTTGGGCGAGGCCATTGTCTCTCTTTCGGGAACTCCTGCTGCACACCCTGCACACTTTTAGGGCGCGGCGTCGCGGTTCCTGACAGCCCTGCTTTCCTGCGAACTTCCGCTGGTTAAAAATACAGCTCTGTCTCCAAGGATACCCTCGGAAAGCCCGCGCCAAGTCTCCGGTGCCGGGACGCGCTGGGCTGAGCTGGGCTGCGGTGCCCGGGGTCTTCGCCCCGCCGCCAGCACTGTACCTCCGGGCAGCCCCCACAAGGAGAGGTGAAGTTGGCGTTCTTTGTATCTGAAACTTGCAGCATTCAGGAAGGGCAGGCGTGCATCTTGCAGCCGGGCTGCAGGGGCGCCCGGAGGGGGGGGGGGCGTGCAGCAGAGGGGGCGACTGGGGGATCGGCACCCCAGCTAGAGCGCACTTCCCGAAGCCCCGTGGCTGGGGAGGCCGCCCGCGGGCGCTGCGGCCCGGGCCTGGCGAAGGCCGAGACAGGCCCCCAGGCCCCCAGCCCCCGGCCCCTGGCCCCCAGAACCCGCTTCCCTTTGTTACTCACTATTTCTCTGGGTTGCTGAGCCAAGATGGCGAAGGTGGAGAGGCGATCACACAGGCATTTCGTGTGGGACGCATCGGTGAGCACCGTCCGGCATCCCCGCGTGGACCACGCTCCCGACGACTGGTTCCTGCGGGCAGAGGGCAGACGGTGAGCCGGCGGCGTCCGGCCGGGACCGATCCGAAGCGGGCGTCGCCGCGGAGCCCGGCCGACCGAGCTGGGGACGGCGTGCGGAGCTGTCCAGCGCCCGCGGTGCTGAAGCCGGGGCGCGCGGGGACGCCCGGCCCGCCGGCCCCGCGGCCTCCCCGGGCCGGCTCTGCGCCCTGCGCCCAGGCTCCCCGCCCGGCTGCAGATCGCGGGCTCGGAACGCGGCGGCTTCCCCGGCGGAAGGTTCCCGAGGCCCGGGGCTGCCCCGCGCCGCGCCGCTCCGCCCGCCGCCCCTCGGAACCCGCGGCCGAGAACAGCTCACCCGGGAACGCGCGGCAGCGGCCCCGCCGGCTCCTCGCCGCCCCGCCGCGCCGGCCGCGCGCGCTCCGCTCAGCCCCGCGCTCCGCTCGGCCCCGGCATCGCGGCCCGCGGCCTCTCGGGGCGCCGCTCACGCCAGCCCGGCCCGCGAGCGCACCCGGAACCTGGAGCCCGCGGCCGAGGCCGGCGGCGCGGGCGGGGCGCGGGCCTGGCGCGGCCTCTTCCGCCTAGCCATCCACACCACCCAAACCCTCGGTGCCTCCGCCGCCCCGGCGGAACAATAAAGATGGTCTCCGCCGGGGTCTCCTTGGAGGAGGGCGGGGGCGCCGGCGCGGCCCGGCCGCTGGATAGGAAGAGGGCGGCGAGCGGAGCGTGCGCCGCGGCCAATCAGCGCGGCGCTCCTCACACGTGCTCGGGCGGCCCGCGCGCCGCCGCCACTGCCGCGGCCGGGCCGAGCCTGGGCCGGACCCGTGCCCCGCGTCCGCGCGAGCTCCGGGCCCGCTCCCGCCGCGGGGACCCCGGCCAGCCGCCGCCGCGCACAGCGCCTCTCCTCTCCGTGCTGCGGACCGTCGGACGCTGCCTTCCATCCATTCTCTGGGCGACGGCTGGCCCAGGGCGTGGAGCGGCCTCACGCCGCCCCGCGCCGGCACCTGCACCCCGGCCCGGCCTGTGCACTCGAGGCTGGCGCTCCACCACTTGGACCGTGGCTTCGCTTCTGGCCTCCTATGGCTCGGAGGAGAAGAGCGCTCAGAGATTCTCCTGCCAGGACTGGCTTTGAACTCGGATCCTCAGCCCTAAGTGTCCCGAAGAGCCAAGATTGCAGGCGTGAGCCGCCAGCGCCGGGCACAGGACACATGATTAGCCGTCAGGCATAATGAACACAATCGCCATTCGGTATCTATGAGTGACATTTTAAATATCAGAGTTGGTAACGTGGTACACTCAATTGCGATTTACTTTTAAAAGAAAGCACTGTACTGGCTGGGAAGGTGGCTCAGTGGTGGAGTGCTAGCCTTGAGCAAAAGAAGCCCAGGGACAGTACCCAGGCCCTAAGTTCAAACCCCAGGACTGGCAAAATAAACAAACAAATAAATAAAATGAATACATACATTCAAGAGGGAAAGAGCCCTTCTGGGAATCTGAGGCAAGACACGGACACATCAGGAGATCAGAAGCTGTGGAGCCTGAGGTATAAGAATGTACAGCTAGGGGCTGGGAAGTTGGTAGAGTGGTAGAGTGCTTGCCTCGCATACACGAGGCCCGGGGTTCGATTCCTTAGCACCACACAAGCAGAAAAAGCCACATGTGGCACTGTGGCTCAAGTGGTAGAGCGCTAGCCTTGAGCTAAAGAGCTGAGGGACAGTGCCCAGGCCCAGAGTTCAGAAAAAAAGAAAAAAGAAAGCACTGCATTTTCAGAGTTAGATGAAATTATACCTAAATTTTACATAAATACTTATAAGTATTGACCATTTCAAAATTGCATAATCTCCTTTTCTTTCTCATAATACCTGGCAATCATTACCTTCTACCTACCTACTATCATCTTTTTTTTCTTTTCCTTTTTTTGTGCCAGTACTGGGGCTTGAACATCAGGCCAGGGAGCTGTTCCCTACTTTTGTTACTAAAGGCCGGGGCCACTTTCAGCACTCTGCTGATTAGTTGGAGGTAAGAGTCTCGTGTACTTTCCTGCCTGGGCTGGTTTCAAAGTCCAGTCCTCAGATCTGAGCCTCCTGCATAGCTGGCGTAGGGCAGTGAGCCACCAGTGCCTGGCTCTTCTCAAGACTAACATGAGTCATGCCATCAAGTGAAGCGTATTCCACAGGAGTTCTGCCTCTCCACTGCAGGACACACATTTACAGCACACTCTTAACCTTCTTGTGATAGTTAAGGCCAAATGAAAAACCTGTATCGCAGCCGATCAGAGACCAGAGATGGAAGATGCACCAAAGAGAATCCGACAAGCTTTAAAATGCAGCACTCCCCTCATCCCTTCTGCCCGGAATTCCCCTCCATGCAGAGTCTGCAACTGCAGGATGGAGTCCAGGACTTGTATTTTCCAAGTGGTGCAGTAATGCCCCACAAAACCAACTCAAGATCTGAACAAAAACACAAGACTGTAAATATACCTCACAGAAGTTACTTTGGCTGGCACTGAACTTTTGATACAAAGTCTGTGAAGTTGCTAGACTCTAGAGATGAGGCACACTCATTTTACATGATGGCTTTAGAGAGCTGGCCCCTTCTGCTTTACTCTGCACCCTGCCGCTCCTTCCCTTCCTCTTCCCAGATACCCTGCACCAAGTTCTTCCAGTCAGGCCCTGGTGCCACACAACTGTAAGCCCAGCTCCTCAGAAGGCTGAGATCCACAGGATCATGATTTGAAGCCAGCCCAGGGGGGAAGTCTCTAGGAGACTCCCTCTTCAAAATAATTAGCAAAAAATCTGGGCTGGTGGTGTAGAGCACCAGGTGAGCAAGCAAGCATGTGGCTGGGAGTTAAAACCTAGAAGCCAGAGGAGAAACATTTCTACTTTTCCCAAGGCTTCAAATACGGCCTTAACTTTCTTCAAAGTTATTATCCCTTCAGTGACTTTATCTGGCTAAGCTAACATATGTTAATCTAGGAGATCCTGAGCACAGCTTGTCATGCCTTTCTGAGCACAACAGGGGATGTGTAGCATGAGTAATGCATCCAGTAGAAGGCACCAGAAAATGGAACAAGGAATGGGGGAAACGATCTTGAAAGTAGGGATGACTTCAAGAGCTGAAGAAGTATGGTGTCATTTTGATGCTAAAATTTATATTATTTCATGTCTTTTGATATTTTATGATGACATAGAGCTCTTGTAAATTGGTTTTTCAATCGCGAGCATGAATAACACTATTATCACAAACCCTAGAGTTGCCTGTGTTTTCCGGCTTCTCACGGCGTATCCCTACTGACTGGCGTGCTCCTCGGGCCTGGTACCCGGGGCTGATCGATTTCAGGGCTGTCTTGTAAGGCAAAGGATGACTGGCAGAGCAAACGGGAAGCAAGGCCGCTCACACAGACCATTCTAGAAGTCACATTATTCTTCCCATGTCATAATTCTGAGTGCTGTAATAAATGGTGTATCTGTAAATTATTCTTATTATTAAGTCTAGGTTGCTGACAACAAGACAAGCAGATGCAATGAAATATGTATGAAAATTAAAGATATAACAAGAATAATAGACTGACAGTGTCAGAAGCAGACAGAACGGTGTGTAGGAATATACATTATACTAAGTCATATATTTCTTTTCATAATGTCTTTCTGGCATTACACATGCGTCCTATTTCCAAAATAAATTTTAAATACAGCTGTGCCTGTAAAGATTCCATACGTTCAGAACATTCTTTGTGGGTTATTAGCTGTCATCTGACCATTTCCCCTAATGTTAAAGGAGGAAAGGAATGTTTCTGTCCCAAGCTTTCAAAAGTATTTATCACAAATATTCTGTAAGATCTGGCACTTTCCAGTTGACTATTTGAAGGCTTTACCCAATTTTCTAGTCAGTTACATGGTATCTTTTTTCTCTGTGTATTAGTTGTTCTTATTTCATGTAGCTTTAAGTAATATGGCATTAATCTATATCCCCTAGCTAACACTTAAATGGTACAACTAAATTGAAATTATTTGCTTACTCTGATAAAAAAAAGTTTAATAAAAATTTTATAACAAAATTTATAGTAACACATTTCAACCATTCCAAGAAATAATATTTTTAATCTTTTGGAAAATCAATACATTGTAGATCTATCACTTCAGTCATTCTTTTATAAAACCGGCCACTCTTCTCATTAATTAAAAGTATGTAATATATTTACTATGAGTTATAAAATTGGGCACGTAGATTGAATAAGTGGATTTAAAAGAATTTTATTTACAGTTTCTTATATTTTCTCACATAAATAAATGCAAATAATTACTTCTTAATTATAGCAATTCTAGGGATCAAGTGAATCTATATCATTTTAAAGCATCTATTCCACCCAAGTAATGGTGTATATTTGTTTCTTGTAAATAAGAGATTTGGGAAGTGCAGATGAGGACACAGTCCCCCTTTTGAGTAGAATGTCTTTGGGTGAAATCTGCATTGCAAATCCTAACCACATTGCTACATGCAGCAATGGCTACTCTGTGAGAAGAAATGAATCATATAATTAGAAAATTTTGCCATATGTCACTTTAATGGCAGTCTGGGCATTGGCTTCGAATACTTGCTATACATTAAAATGACCAGGGGAGCTTTCAACAGTTAACGTGGGGCAGGTCTTGAGCAGGGCCCCCTGCCTGGTCTTCTCTGGGTGACGGGATGTGGCCAGGGTTCAGAACCACAGGCCTGTCCCCACCACATAGCTTTGTGGGAAAGGAGTGGACGTCAGAGTGAGAAGCAAAGCCAGTTCCAGACTTGGGGTGTTTTCGATGCTCATTTTCACCACAGTGTGTTTTGGAACCATGTGATGAACGTGCTGTGTGAGGTTCTACGGAGTTCAGATCTAGAACGTAAAACACCAGCCACATTCTGTTCTCATCAGGAAGGTTTGAAGCCGCCATGGGGCACATTCATGTCTCTGGGGAGAAGGGACTCAGAAGCTGGTGCTTTCCCAGCATGCACCGCTGCCGTCCACTGTGCTGGGCTCGG